GTTCAGCAGTCAGATTGAATTTCTTGTATATTGGTCGAAAGAATGGTGGAAAAGAAACACCGTATCATCAGTGGTTATTGTGGCTCATGTAAAATGGGGGGATGTTTTGTTCATCACAGAAGATCTTACTCTTAGTTACTTAGATCAAAGAAATGTTTCCAGGGTATGCAGTATAAATCAAGAATATGGAAATAAGGTTATTACAAGCACATGAACTGTGTAATATTAATTTCAAAGAATTTATTTTTTATTGCTTCCTACATGAGGATAAATTACCTGTGTAATTTAACTAGTTTTGCAAGCATATTTGAAGTTATAGTTGTTATGCTTCAGCGTTTCATGAGTGGTGTGAATCCAGCCTGTATCATGAAAAGAATACATGAAAAGAGTTTGCCTTTGTACAACTTTAAATATAGTCTTGGCAGGATACGGTGTTGTAATTTGAAAAAGTTAGGTTTTGGCTTCTGTAATGTGGGTCAAAAGACAGGAAAGAAAAGTACGCCTGAAACTGACCACTGCTTTTATGTGGAGGGCTTAGAGAAAAAAATCCCTATTTGAAACATTTGATGAATTACAATCAAATCGTATGTAACCCACTTATGTACATAGTCCCGTTGAAGTCAGTGGAGACACTTTTGTGAGGAGAGTTAATGTTGGGAACATAGACAAGTTTGGAGCTTAAAATAAGAAAAAAAATATTATCATCATTCTAAACATAAAACTGTTCTGTCAAAGCACTTCCAAAGCTATAATGTCTGCTGCTGGCGTTCCTGTTGTTGAAGGTTATCATGGAGACGATCAATCAGATGAATGTCTGAAGGAACATGCCAAGAGAATAGGATATCCAGTAATGATTAAAGCTGTTCGCGGAGGTGGAGGAAAGGTAAAGGAACTGATCTGCTTATTGCATGGTGTAAAGTTGGCTTCTGTAACTGAATATTCTAAAATAAATCTTTGAAAACAAATAAAATGGAAAAATACTTTTGGTTAAAATTTATTATTAATGTCCAGTCCAGCACTATGAAATCTCACTTCCATTTGTTGTGCAGTCAGGCGCAAGATAAGTAGGTGCTATAAATTGGAAGAGTTTTGTTTTTCAGTGAATCTCCAGTAATTCACATAAGCAGAAAAGTTGTTGTATGGATTTGTTTGTGTGAAATTAGATGACTTGAAATTGTTACTTTGTGATAGCTTCTGTGACTTTTTTTGCTAACAGTTTTAAATGTTGCATAAGAAGTGATTAGAAACACCATTGAAGTAGTTAGTGTCTAGGCACTTTTTTAACGTATGGTGAATTCTCTGTGTAAATCTGATTTTACTCTGAAATAAATTTGTATAAAAATGACATGATGGAGAATTCTAATTATTTCCAAAATAGCTGTACTTATTTTGTAATTAAATCAATTTCTGTCTGCCAACTGAGGAAAGTTTCTATGATATTTAAGAATAAAATTGAATTTTGTACTCATCCATATAAATGGAATGATAATATCCATTTTTTTACACTTCTTACGGCACTTTCAGTGGGACTTAGTAGGATTATCTTACTGGAAGCTTATACACAATTTTGCTAAAGTTTAAGAAGGAAGGGAAAAGTGTCACATTAAAGTCATTTCTTGCTGTTTGCTTGCAACAAGGATTTTTCTTGTGTACTGTATTTTTAGACATATATTTTTTTTTTCTGTATTTTAGGGCATGAGAATTGCTCACTCAGAAAGGGAGTTTCTGGATCAACTAGAATCAGCTAGGAGAGAAGCAAAAAAGTCTTTCAATGATGATGCAATGCTGATTGAGAAATTTGTAGATAATCCACGGTAAGAAATTGTTTTTTTAATATAAGCACTGTAATGTTTATTCTACTGTTAAATAAGCATAACTATTTTAGTATCAGGATGAAAATAGGTCTTGTATATTTCATCTGCACTATGGCAGGTGTTAATTTAATCAATATTGTTTATAATGTATTGAATTTCTTGTAGTGGCTTTGTTTTGAATTATAAGAATTAAAATACTGCTGTTTGGGACAGTGACATTTAATGACATTGATATTCTTCCTTGAGTGAGCTTTCTAAACTCGGTTTAGATCTATAAAAAAAAAAGATTACTTTATAATACTTAAACTACAGGCCCGAGTCAAGCTGTCATGGTGTTTCTGCTGCCCTCAGCTGTCCTAAACTAGTTATTTAATCTTTCTCTATTCTGGTATTTAAAACAGAAGTGATAGTCTTTAGCTCATGCCTTACCTAATTTATTTTTTATAAAGAATTCTCACAGAGGTCTATTTGATACTCTTGTACTTTAGATCTGTTTTTCTTGAAGCATCCCTATAAAGAAAGCATTTATTCTGAAGAAGCTGAGGGCCTGCTGATGCTGTCAGATGGGCATGAGAAAAATCTCATTAAACTCCTGGGGAATTTCTTTTGCCAGCGTCGGAGGATTACCAGAACGGTGACGGATCTTTGGTGGTTTTATACGTAGAACAAAGTTCTGCCACCTAATAGTTGTCCTCTGAAGTGGCGTGTTGAAATAAACAATGTTATTCCTGAGCCAGGGCTGCTGCCTCTTGTGAATTGCTACACAGTAAATTATAAGGGAAGTCATCATTATCAAATAATAGTGAAGTGGTTTTACTTTTGTGATAATAAAATAACTAATAAAGAGGTAGCAGCCTTTAGATGTGCATCTTGTTTATCCTATGGCCTATGAGGTTTCACTGTGGTAGCTGGCATTTAGAATCCTGTTTCGTTTAGGAAATTGAGGAAGTCTGAAACAGTTGAAATCCTGCATAATAGAGGCCTCATTTCTACATTTTTGGCTATTTGAGGGCAGACGCTTAAACCTGTAAGAAGTCCTACTGAAGTGTACAGGACTGTGTGCGTGTTCAAAGTCTGTTCGGGTGAAGTCAAGTCGCATGATTGGGGCTTTATTGAAAAATATGTTAAAGCATTTATTATTATGACACAGACATGTTGAAGTCCAAGTATTTGGTGACCAGCATGGCAATGCAGTCTATTTGTTTGAAAGAGACTGCAGTGTGCAAAGAAGACATCAGAAGATCATTGAAGAGGCACCAGGGGTGAGTAGAAAGTTTTTACAATATTTTTTTTATGAACTTGCATGTTTTTAAGTAATTGGTAACTCCCATTGATTTTTTTAGTGGGTAGTAATTTATTTGTAATTCTCAGTACCTGCTTCTAATTTTGCTGCAGAAAGTGTTCTAATTGAAAAAATGACTTTCTTTAGAAAATGATTCTCAGGGAAAAGTTATGTAGATTTCAAGTATAACATTGATAAGGATTTCACTGCAGTTACTAAATATCGAAAATGTTCATGCCTAATAGTTTAATATCGCCAAAATTCACAATAATTTATAATCTTTTGTATTATTATTTACAGCCAGGAATTAATCCTGAAGTTCGAAAGAGACTTGGAGAAGCTGCTGTCAAAGCAGCTAAAGCAGTGAATTATGTGGGAGCAGGTAAGTCTGCGGAGGTATGGCTGCTCCAGAGATACATTTAACAAGACTTTAAGCCTCAAGGCAAATGGCATCTGATTGATTTAGATTATGACACACATCCCCCAATTTTTTGAGGATTAAGCAAGTAATCACATAGTTAATTCTGATGGAATTACAAATTTAGACTAACATACCTGGTCTGAGCTCAAGATCAGTGTCAGCTGAAGAATAGAAAAAAAATGTCAGAGCAGATAATTCAATCAACTAGGTGCTTGTTGGGAAATGAGCATTATGAATGTTAATAAGTTTGAGCAGAACAAGGGAAAAATAATTTATCTTTCAACATACAAAGAATGATACTTTATATTCACATAATAAAGCCTCCAAAAGAAATTACGTCTCCCTGTCTGTAACATCCATACTATTTCCCAGTTGAAAAATAACCTGCTAAAATTATTTGTGTCTTTTCTTACTGCTTTCCTTGGATACCTATTTTTAAAAAATAATTACACGTCCTATGCGTATGCACAATACTTTAAGGAGTCTTGATGCACTTTTTAGAGCTCTAACGAAATGCAGCTCTTACTGTAGAGGAGAATGGCTACTAAACAGCACAGGATACATAAATGTGCAAAGAAACAATCGTTCCATTTTCAGACCTAAATTGTGTGACCCTTCAAGATAATTTGTATAGAATTTAATGACACTCAGTATCTCTGGTTTAGAAATAATGATCTTGTCCTGGCGTAAGTCAATGAAGTGTCTTAGGTGTCCATTTTGAAAAAAAATTTGTTTTGGTGAAGTGCCCTTTCATTAAATACTTCAGGAACAGTGGAATTTATTATGGACTCCCAACATAACTTTTACTTCATGGAGATGAATACCAGACTGCAAGTAGAGCACCCAGTTACAGAGATGATCACTGGAACAGACTTGGTGGAATGGCAGCTTAGGGTAAGTGTTAATTGATTTTACACGTAGAGTTCCTCTTGTCTGGTGAATAGTGCTCTTTGATATTGCCTATGAGAGACCAGATGGGTTTTCAGATCCTCGTCTTATATTCAGCTAATAGGGTAGAGTTTCCTTCGCTCCGAAGGAACATCTCATATTACTGTATTTGGTTGTGGAGCATTGTGTAGATGCTCTGAATTCCAACAAAGTCGTCTTCCAGTTGTGTAGAGAAACAACAATTTTTAAAGTGTATTTAGGGAGGTTATAGACAATGTGGAAAGTGGGAGGAGTAGGGTCCTGATCTTTCTCTTGCCATGCTGAAAATCTTTTAAAACTCTAGTGGAAATGTACCTCTGGCCCAAAAATCACTCTTGGATCAGGCCGCAGGAGGAAGACTTCACAAAACCATGTGTCTGGTATTATACCAGTACAGTCACATTTTCAATTAAATGTATAGTCGTGTGGACTGGAAACAGGCTATTTCCTCACACACCCAGTTTGCAGAGAGATTACTCACATGTTCGAATGATAGCAGGAAGTTTTGGACCTTAGGGAACTGGAAATGAAAAACAATTCTGATTAGATAAATCAAAAAGTGAGGACTGCAGCACGCATTGAGCATAAGTAGATAGGATGGGGAGTGTTTACTGTGACCAGAAAGAAAACTAAAATAACAAATGCTGATGCAAAAACAAGGAACTTTTGGCTTCCTGATGTGGGAATGGAAATTGAGCATTGATTGCTGAGTTGGAGCAGGGATCAAACAATACTGGAAGAAAGAAAAAGAAGTAATGTGGAAAGTTTCGGTGGTCTTGGCATGTGGCTTAATGAGTCAATAGATAGAAAGTGTCTGTCAGTTCTTGGAGAGATTGTTTTTGTGAATATGTATAGTACTACTCTGAAGGCAAATTTATGTTCTGCTGTCTGTGCTGAAATCTGTGGTGGCAGAAGGCAGAGTATGGAAAACCCCTGACACTTCAAAAGAAGATGAAATGTTGCTACAAGTTTTTTAATAGGAACTTGTATTTGCCCATGCAGATGGAAATTGTGTAGCTTCCTGATAAAGGGTCTCCTCTGTGTTTTACTGCAGCAGGCTGCTGCTTATTATTTTGTCACTAAAAGCCCTGGTTTTTAGTCTCAAACTGATGTGTTGTTGGTATTCCTGTATTTGTAATGTGAATTCCTTTGAGTAATAAAACCATGTTTCCTTCCCCATTAAAGATTCTTAAATTGTTAGAAATCTCTTAGAGGAACATCACTTAAATGTACAGGTTCCATAGTATACCGAATAATCAACACTGTATGCCAGTAGTACAGGCCACCAGTAATCCATTTTATCATCTGCTTTTGGAGCAATTTTTCTCTAAGAAAATCTTGTCTTAGTTGACCAGGCTTTAACTTAAACATTTAATTATTTTTTGACATAACCAGTAGAAAAAAGTTACGCTGTTTTTCCATTATGTTTTAGCTGTGTGAAATAATTAGGAGGTCAGTTTACACAATAATAATTCAAAATCCTTTGACTGGTGACTCCCAGAGAAAAGGAAGGAGTAACTTCAGAATTACCCTTTTGTGACCTACCGCTTTTTTCTCCTTGTGCTTTTCTTAATATGCTTTCTAGTTGTTCATGTTTAGAAGAAAGATATTAAATATTTCATACATTGGCACTCCAGAATATTGATCGCGCATTAAAGAAAAAAACCTGTTGTTTTCAGGTTGCGGCAGGAGAGAAGATTCCCCTAATGCAGGAAGAGATTCTGCTGCGAGGCCATGCATTTGAAGCTAGAATATATGCTGAAGACCCTAATAATAACTTTATGCCAGGGGCTGGGCCGTTGTTGCACTTATCCACCCCGCCACCTGATAGTTTCACCCGGATAGAAACTGGAGTCAGACAAGGTAAAACTTAAGGCACTGGTGTAATCAGAAATATTCAACATCAAAAGCTTTTCTTTCTAAGCGTTTATTTCCCTCTTTGGCCTAAATCAGTTCACCTGACAGGGTGTTGTTACAAAGACAAATCTCTACAGAATTACTCTTCCTTGTGATTGTCCATGTTCTGAATTCAGTCACTGAATATTTCATTTATCTCTATCCAAGTTATTGTCCATTGGATCATGCTGATTATATTCTCATCGCAGTCTATTAATCCTGCATTCTGATTTCAACAAAGAATATGAATTTCCGTAATGTTACCCCTACAGAAGTCTGTACTGAAGTTGTTCTTGGAATTGAAATGCCAGGTCACATCATTAATGTTCCTTAATGACATAGCGAAATGTAGTTGTCACTTACGTCAGAGTTTAATGCCGTATGGTGTGCAGGACTGGGCATTACCGACTCTCAGAAAGTGGTTTAGTGTTACAGCATTTTTAAAATATATTTTAGGTGATGAAGTTTCTGTTCATTACGATCCAATGATCGCAAAACTAGTTGTTTGGGCTGAGGATCGTCAAGCAGCGCTGAGAAAGTTGCGTTACAGTTTGCATCAATATAATGTAAGTAGAAGGAGCCCAATGTGATTTCAGATCTTGAACTAACTTTGTGAACGTCTTGAGCTAACAAAATATGGATAAAATACTACAGTAAAACAAAAGTGGTTTCTAAGAGGGAGCTTACGTTGCCACTACCATTTCAGATTCATTATTTGTTTGCAAAAGCTGTGTTTTTTCTAATTTGCAAACTGTTTTAATTGGTGGAGTGAGTAGAGGTAAATGTGAAGTTCAGTTTTACACATAGATTTTTCTTAAGTTTGCGATATCTTCGGTTGGATGAAGCAGCTGGGACTTTGTAGAAGAGTAAGGCTAACCAACAGCATTTTCAATTGTAGTGTGAACTTTCTCAAAGGAATTTGTAGGTGGAATTTGTGTCAGACCATGTTTGCTCGTAATTTATAAAACCAATTAAATTTTTAGACTATACATGTGGTAAAGAAATATGGGCAATTTTTAATGCTGTCAGTTCTTTTTAAGAAGCAGTCCCTTCTTCCCCTATAAAAACTACAGGTATTGCATCTATTTTCAAAAGCAGAATTCAGAAGGTTTGACTTGAGGTGAGACAATATTATTTGTGCAGAATTAATTTACACTTTTAAATAAGCAACATAAACAGGATTGATGTACTGAAAATGTTTGGCCCACTATTGTTTTAGCTAAAATGAAGATTACTGCAAGTAAAAGAGATTAAAAAGTTCCCTTGTGTTTTTTTCAGAATTTTCTTAGTAGTTCCATCAATAAATGTTGACAGCACAGTGTAGTTACCAGTTTCACTGATTTCTCTAAAACAATTATTTCTATCTTCATGTTGTTTGCTTAGGTATTTTGCAGTACAGGAAATTGATAGTATCTAGTACATTTATAGAAGTCACTATTCCCATTTGTTACTATTAAAAGATAAATATGGAATATCTGAAACTATTGTAAACCATTTTTAGTGAGGCACTTTTCATATTAGGAATGTTCTTTTAAACACTCGGAGCATGATTTTCCAAAACAGTAGGGTTTTTTACAAAATTACCTCCCATTACTGTTGCTGGGAAACTTTCTTTGACTTTACAGTGGCCAAAGGTCACATTTTGCAAACAGAGTTCTTTTGAGAAAGCTACTGCCAGGTTTTTTGTTTTTTTTTTCTTTCATTGGTATTAAAACAGACCAGTTGAATTAATTACATTTTATTGATAAACTTTGTGTTTTGATGGTGCTGTCTGAAGGAAGATTCATCTATCATCTACACATAAGTTGAGCAGAAAGCTGTATATTCATTCATAACTTTGTTTCCATTTGGCAATATGCTTCTTTTTCTTTACAGATTGTAGGATTAAGCACTAATATCGATTTCTTACTGAGCCTGTCAGGACACCCACAGTTTGAGGCTGGAAATGTGCATACTAATTTCATTCCTCAACACCATGATGAACTATTTCCAACCAAAAAGGCAATCCCACGTGAAGTTATGTGTCAGGCAGCGCTAGGACTAATACTAAAAGAGAAAATGCTAACAGATGCTTTTAGAGATCAGTCAGATGGTAAGGATCATTCTTCTTTTGTTTTATTTTACCTGTGACTGGATGAGACAGTGCTGTGAGCTCATGTACAATTATTTAATTTGTGTGCTCCCTTTTTGCCTTGCTTTGTGCCTGCTTAGGGTTCTCAATTCTGGTATCTCTCAGATCATAGAATCGTTATGGCTGGAAAAGACCTTTAAGGTCATCAAGTCCAACCACTATCTAACTCTGCTGGGCCCACTTCTAAACCATGTCCCTGGGCACCATGTTAGATGGCTTTTAAATACATCCAAGGATGGTGATTCACCCGCTCCCCTGGGCAGCCTGTTCCGGACTTTGATAACCCTTTCAGTGTAGAAGTTTTTCTTAATGTCTAACCTAAACCTCCCCTGGCGCAACTTCAGGCCGTTTCCTCCTGTCCTATTGGTTGTAACTTGTGCGGAGAGACCAACCCCCACCTCTCTACACCCTCCTTTCTGGTAGTTGTAGAGAGCAATAAGGTCTCCCCTCAGCCTCCTTTTCTCCAGGCTGAACACCCCCAAGTGCCTCAGCCACTCCTCATAAGACCTGTGCTCCAGACCCCTCACCAGCTTTGTTGCCCTTCTCTGGACCCTCTCCAGCACTTATTTATGCACAGAGCAGACTATAACTTTTGTAAAGGGACAGATACTGAATATATCACCACTGTAATGTACAGACTGCTTCCCGCAGCACTTCAGATAGGCACTATCTGAAAGACCTTGAGGTTCGTAATCAGTGTCACTCTGTACTCTTTGCTCTTTACAAGCATAAACTTGTCACTATTATTCCTACAGTTGTCCCAAGGTCTTTAGAGATAAAATTGACTCTGCAAGGATTGGGAGAGGCAGTAGGGTTTAATGGAATGAACAGGACTGCAGGAGCTGAACATTCTTCAGCTCTCACACTGCTGATGGATATACCAGTGGGGCGTGTGATTGCTGTTAACAAAAATTTCCTATAAATCTATATGCTGCCAACAACCTTGTTGATTTTCTTTCCTCCTCCACTTTAACTATCGTGGAAACGTGGGAGAGTGGGATTGGAAAGATTCCCATACACTTTTCCCTTGCTTCAAGAGATGACGAACTAGTCAGGCGCTATCGGATAGCTGTGTATCTGATCCATTCTCAGAAAAACTAAGTAATAGAAAACACCTTGATCTTCCCAGGCAATATGCTGCCATGTTTGACTACTCTTACAGTTGGAACCTTCACCTAAAGGCTAAGCTCAATCTGCTGTGTTGCAGTTGAATTCCCATGCTTTCTTGTCCTGTTCAAGGATGTGTTGGTGGAGAGCAGTCAATATCCTTCTTAGTAAGTGCTGTTAGTGCCATGTTTTCTGTAGGTTACACAGCCTCAGTTTATTCAGTGTTGAAGCTTGTCGCTTTCTATTCCTATGGTTCCCCAGTCTTTTATGTGCAATATAAATATATAAGTATGATGGTAGTAACAGTAGGACATTGATTTCATGGTGTAGGTTTTCAGTATTGTATTTTGCCAAAGTAGAATTAAAGTAACATATCTGTATATTTTGTGTTTTAGATAAATTCTCACCATTTGCATCCAGCACAGGTAGAAGAATAAATATATGTTATACTAGAAAACTGTCTCTGCTGGATGGGGAAAACAGTAAGTTAACAAAAAACTGTGTGGAGGGAGAGGAGATACTTTATGGCTAGAAGTTAACTTTATGGATACAGTTATTTCAACTTGGTGCTTGAAAATTCAGGCTAAGAAGCAGCAAATAGAAGTACTATGAGTTTAATGCAATTTAAGCTGGGAATTCACAGAATTGCATTATTAATCCACAGTGTTAGATCTTGAGGAGTTAAAACCCAAATTCAAATGACGTTATTCATTTAAATGATGAACAATAGTAGTGTTGAGATTTTTAAAAGAGCCGAGTGTCATTGACTTTTTTTGTTTAACTTCACTTTGGTGTGGAAGTGCTCAGCACTTTTTCCCCATCAAAAATCTGGTTTTGGCCTGGATAACATAGGTTTCAGAGCGTTAACAGGAGGTGTTCATCTTTGAAAAACAAATTGTCTACAATTCAGTATGAAATCTGCAATGTGTACTGAGCTAATCTGAAAATACTTATTCTATTCTTAGTATTGGTAGGTCTCTCTTTTTTATCAAGAAAGATAGAGACTAAATATTGTTTATATGTCATGATTCTCTAGATCCTATAATTAAATCTACTCACATATACATGTTTTGTTTTATTGAACAGTTGTGGATGTAGCTGTAAGTTACAATCAAGAAGGGTCATACAACATGCAGGTACGAGTCCTGTTTTTTTCAGATATTTCATTAGATAAAAGAAGAATCGGTTTCTTGTAGACTTCTCTTGGTATTTACTGTTATTAAAGTTGCTTGGTAATTACTTATACGGGTTTCTATTTTTGGTTTGCTTGCAGCTGTTGTTGTAGACTATTATTTTGGCTTGAAATTATCTTCACTAGATGCTGGATTGGCATGGAAGAGCTACTAAAATGCTTCTGAATATAAGGCTAAGAAAAGCATTTGTTTTTCCAGTATTTAAAGATCTTACTCTTTATTTTTCTCTTCCTGAAATTTGTCTTTCTGAAACATTGGCAGTTCGATTTAAATCTGCATTTAAAAAGACTCTTTTTCCACAGGACTCCTGCTTTATTTTGTGCATGAGGTAGATCTCCTGTGGGATAAATAAAAGATTTCTAGAGCATTATCTGTAAGATAACACTTCTTTTATTTTGAAGATGGAAATTGGAAAGTGATTACCAAATGAGATAAAGAATGATGAGAGTAGTAAATCTTCTGGTTAAATAATTGAGTGATGCCCATAGAATTGGCTTCTTTCTCTGTTTATGCTATACAGATCCTATAGAATACAACTTAAGATGCTTTAAGCATAGATATTTTTGTGTGAGCGTGTGTGATAATCTCTAATTGTGTGGTTTATGGGGGTTGTGTTTTGCTGAGTGTTGAATATCTTTCTTGCATCACCTGGAGTCGAATGGGTTTTCTCACACGTTTGTCACCCAGAATGATTGCAGGCTCGAGAATACAGCCTCTCTGTAGTTCAGCTGCTTGTTTCCAATATTCAGAAAAGGGGAATTATGAGAATAAGTCAGTGTTTATGAACTGCTTAGACTGTGCAGAGATGAGTGTACTAGAAAAATAGTGAGAAAATTATTGTGCTTTCATGTGTATAACCACATATTGGGTAACTCAAACCCTTATTTCTACTGATACGAATACTGAGATAACTCACATCCCTCAAGTAATACACGGGTTATTTTGAGAGTATTGATTACGTAAGTAATGCAGGAGAGCTTTTATACTTCAGGCTTACCTCATATAAGTAATGCCGGCAAAAAATAAAAAGAGGCTGGAAGGAACATAGAGTTCGTTTTGGGGAGAGGAAGTCCAGCCAGGGAGAATGTAGACTCCCAGGGAAGAAGGAATAACGGGGGTTGAGATGGAAATGGTGAGAAGCTGGAGATAAGGAATGGAGAAACAGAATCAGGAGCTGATCATGAGGAAGACAGTGCCTCTGGAGTGCTACAAAACCTGTCCTGAGGCAAACCAACTAGAGCAGGTTGCTGGGCCATGGTACTGGCAAGCACTTGCGGTGTTGCCCTGATTTGCGCCTCTGCTCAGGATACTGATCAAGAAAATGATTTTTTTTTTTTTTCTCAGGGATCAGTATCAGATCAACAGTATCCTTTCAAAGCATGTTATAAGGTCTTCATTCAGTGGAAAAATAGGATGTGACTGTATAAATGAAGACTGAATTTTTTCCCTACTTGTAACACCCTGAAAGACCAGCAAGTCTCTGATTGTTTGTTGAGTGATGTTAGACGTAAAACTGAAAATTTCAGTTAAATGTAATGCACTTGCATTCATATTCTTATTGTCTTTGTATTCTGAACTTGTGGCAGAGGTGCAGTTTCCATTGATGCAGATGAAAGGGTTACCTACAAATAAATGATCTTTCCATTTGGTCTTTCTTTTGCAGTTTGGGCGTCTAACTGACGCTGTCTCCATTGCTGCTGCTCTGCTCCATTGTAGGTTTACTGAATATATTGTAGCTTTTGTATTGTAAGCTTACAAGAGTGAGAAGTTATCTGCCTTTCAGAAAGCATTGTGGACTCTTATGGTATCAGCTGAATAGTATGGATTTTTCAGTTTGAAGAAAGTCAAGATGGTAGGACAAACTAAAAATACTGGATTCTAGTAGCATCACTAACTGAATATTCTGGGTTGGTTTGTTTGTTTGTTTTTCCTGAAAAATAATATTCCTTTTCATTTTGAGTGCTATTGCATAGTTTATCACAGAAATTGTCCTGGAAGAGCATAATAGCTAACTTTCTGAGCTGATTGCACTGGATACAGAATACAGTGAACTGAAAAATGAAGGATACGTAAGATTTAAAAAGACTCTAATTTCAGAATTATTTATGAAAAATCACAGGTTATGAGTCTGCACTACAAATACTAACTTTTGGTTTATTGTTCATGAAGGGTTAGGCTTTGTCCTTATAAAGGCATTTAACTTTCAGATTCAAGATAAAACGTTCCTGGTTTCTGGAGAGATGTTCAGTGAAGGTGATTCAGTTTACTTGAAGTCTTCAGTAAATGGAGCAGTGTGGAAGTCCAAATTGGTCATTTTGGACAACACCATTTATCTCTTCTTTCCGGTAATGTTCCTTTTTCTATTATCACAAGTACAAAATTTTCAAGTTTTATCCATGTAAATAGGCAATATAAATTGCAAAAGAATATGGAAGAGAATGATAATTTACAGTGGCCTATACTGTTTTGATACTTGATGGATTTATTGCTGTAAAACAAAACTGTAAAAAAAACAACAACTGATTGTGGTCAGTGAGTAAGAAAGTAAATTACTTTTAGAAAGATAAAATACAATTAGGTGAATCAGAGTGGCAAACGATGGTTTGGGAGGGGGGAACACAAAATATTAAAATGGTCAATTATCTAAGTTTGTCATAGAACAGTAGCAATTACGTCAAACTGATAATTACTTGAAAGTGCTTGTAACTGATACGGTTATTTCAGTGTATTTGATTTTTAATATTAAATGATAAGAGAAATCTGTGGTATCAGAGTGGATTCTGAGGTGGGGGATCTAGAAGAAATCACAGGACTTTTAGGGTATAGGTAGGATGTGTGGGAGAATGAGTCTTTGGGAAACTTTGGGTAGAGAGTCTGAGAGGAATTAGGGGATTTTGAAGAACGGTGAGAAATTTTTTTATTAAACTTAACACTGAATCCATTTCATTGTGATTTGAGAAACACTGACATTGACAATGCTTGGTAATGAAGATGCCAATGTCTGTCTGTCGTGTCACAGCAACCTGCCTACCCCTTGTGCAAACAGCCTTTACTCATTTTCTAAAACCTGTGCTGTTGCTGCATGAATAGGGAAGGTGTGGGTTTGGTACAAGGGTCCAGGTGGACCCTGTCTTTAACTGGGGTAGTTCCTTCCTTGCCGATCCTTAGCAGCAGCAGCCGTGCCTCAGACGTTGGCAAAGTAGTGAGTGTGCCCACAGTCCTTTTGCTGCCCTGGCCCCAGAGTCTGGCACCCTGAACAGTTGGCTGAGTTGCCTAAAGCTGGATCTGTTCTTTCCCTCTATGTCAGTATGTGCACTAGCGATATTATTTTACGTTATTAACTCACGTGTCATTGTTTTTATTTCTGTAGGAAGGTAGTGCTCAGATTGGCCTTCCTGTACCCAAGTACTTATCTGCAGTGAGTTCGGTGGGAGTGCAGAGTGGTGCTGTAGCGCCCATGACAGGCACAGTTGAAAAGGTAATTTTAATAATATAGGTAGGAAATGAATTCTCCAATATATACCCAAATTCCGTCTTCCAGAAATGGTGCTTGCTTCTGTACTGCCAGGAAATAATCAGGGCCAGAAATGTCAGTGCTGTGCGATTCCTCCCAGTTAGAAAAAGCCCGGTTTACTCTGAGTTTTCAGCATCCACCCAGGAGTTTTTCAGGCTTCTAGTCGTCTTTTTCTAGAGCTCTGGAAGATCTGAATATTTAACTAATTCTACTGCTTGAGTAATTTTTTCTTCATCTTAATTACTTTCTAACTCAGAATTCCCTGAAGTGTCATAGGCTGTTTGATCCGTTTCATCTAAAGTGATGGAATGCTAGATGGGAGATGCTAGATGCACTTGGAAAAAAAAGAAATATTCAGAAATATCTTTTTTGTTAAGCTGTGTATTTCATTGCTTCCGGTTTTGTTTCTTTTTCTTTAGCTCAGCAAGTCTTGTGTATTTCTCTGTACAGTGCTGAAGTTTCAACAGAAAAGAGATTTCCAGCAGAGTTTAGTAGTTAAAGGATTCTGTTAGCAATAGAAAGTCATGAATTCTTTCAGAGGGTGGAGTACGTTGAACGTGGATCTCTAACATACCGAGTGGACACTCTAAATCAGAGTTATTGTAGAAAAACTAGGTGCCTTCTGCAATCCTCTTCCTGGATTTTGTTTTAAAAACAACTTTAGGGACTGGCTCCAGGAAGAGGTTCTGCACTTTTTCCTCTCAAAATAGAAGCTCTTAAGCCCAGAAAGGATAGAATATACATTGTCCCTTCTAGTGTTTCTTTGATACATAAATGGCGTCCTGGTCACCCTCTTGGCTGTATTCTTTCTGTAGCCTCTGACTTCCCTTGAATATTATCTAGAAAACTCGGATACCCAATGCAACAATAATAAAGATACTACAAGGCTGTTTTGCAAACCCACAATCACTCAGTGGATTGTGCTAGCCAAAATCCAGCTGATGATTTTTAATGGTACAGACATGCATGATTTTTTTTCCCAATTTTCTCTTGAATTGTAGGTTTTTGTGAAAGCAGGGGATAAGGTTCAGATTGGAGACCCTCTAATGGTTATGATAGCTATGAAAATGGAGGTAAGTGACATAAAAAAAGGTTTTAATTACTAAGAAAAAAAATACCTGGTCAGAATTTAATCATTTTTGGTTGCATTATTGAAGTATGGTGCAGAGTGTAGCTTGCAGATGTCAGTATCACTTCATATGCTGTGAAATATGTGTTGTCTCTGACTGGATTTCAGAGGATTATATTTGCTGTTATTTTATTAACAAACAATGATTATGTAATCCATGGTATTCTGCAGATGTTTTAATGTTCATTTGGTTAGCTTTGTCAATCCTCTCCCCTGCCCTGCTTTCATTTTTTTTAGCAGCAAACTCCCTAAGTGGATCTCTTGCTCACTATGATATGAGCATACGTAATGTCTGCAGTTACTTCATGCAGAAATTTTTTTTTTGTTTATAATCTTATTATTATTATTTACATAAAGTTTTACCAAGAGTACACTAAAGACTCTTTTGTAATTGTCCACATGGCATTCAGTGGACTAACGTTTTGGCCATTATATCTTGTAACATTGCTTGACCATGGCTCAGATTGCTTGACCTATAGTTTTTGTAGCTTGAGCTGGTTTGGTTTGGCTGTTAGTTTATTTTAAACTTCAGTTTGTGGTAGCAGAGTTAACACTGTTGGGAAAAATTGCCTTTCTCTTATCATGCCCTTTTATAAATTACATTCAAATTATATGAAATACAACAACTGTGCACTAATAAAAAATTACACCCAAAATTATTTGCAATTGGATGCTAAATGTGCCTCTCCATCTGATATCTGACATTAGCTGAATTGTTCTCCTTTTTTTTTTTTTTTTTGCAGCGCTATTGAGATATAAACTGTAAAATTTTAAAAGCAAATTATTATTTAAATGATCCTTACTTAGATGTGAGGATTTAATATCTGATAGTAAATGTTTTGATATTAGACTAACCCTATGTAGAAAATTACCAAGAAACAAAACTTGGAAAACTAACCTGGTACAATAACAAGTAGACCAATTTGGGGATTGGTATGTAAACATGCTATTCCTTTACTGTCACTAGTAGCTGTATTTGTATTTCGTTTAGATTTTGCCAAATATCTGTTCAGTAAGGACCCCTCCTGGCCAGCAAACAAAAATATTTTTAGTAAATCTGCAGAGTCCTCTTAAGGGAACAAATCTGCTATATGATTAACATTTCAGACTAAAACTGTATTATTTCTGCCTGGTTATTTATTCTAATATCAAAAAGTGTTAGCAAAGTAAAATAATATTCAGCTGTTCCTACTTCAAAATATAATATTATATAGCATCTTTGTCCCCAGTATTGAAATAAATATTGATGAGAAAATAAAACTTGAAAAAGGACTAGGATAACATTTTAAAAGAAGGTTTAAAATAAATAGACACGTGTCAGAGGAAGTAAGTGTGTTCTGTTCTAATTTCACCAGAGTAATATTAGCATTTGCTGGAGGAGGGGAGGGAAGTGAGGGAGAGAGGAGGGGAAAAAAGTACTCTGCCGGCTCACTATTGATGTGTTTCTGCGCAGCACACCATAAGGGCTCCAAAAGCAGGAGTGATAAAAAAGGTTAATTTCCAAGAAGGTGCCCAGGCCAATAGACACGCTCCACTAGTTGAATTCGTGGATGAAGAGGCTGAGTCAAAATAAAATTCAAGGAAGGTGCATTTTATTTTTTCTACTTTGCTGCTTTTCCCTAAGGAGAAGATTTCTTCATATTTTCAGCAAACTGTTTTGTATAAAAGATTGGGGAATTGGTTTCCTCTGCACTTCCTGCATAGTTTGACAGTAAATTATGCTGACTTTACTGAAGTTTGGATATCACTTTACTGTAATCGTATATATAACTCGTGGACCGATGTGATTGTTGTTCAGTGGTTATGTTTGCCTGTGAAAAGGCATTAGACTGGAAAAAATGTGGAACTCTTAAAGGATGGGAGAGGTTAGTAAGACGCTAAGTTACAGACAGCTAGGGTTCTTCTGCCTACTTTTTCATTCACAGCTGCCTTTTTTCCCCGAGATGTGAGAGCACTAATTTGAAGGAAATCTGAAAGGTGACAATTGTTTTTTGAATACATTTCTCTGGCAAAATTCCTGTTTGTGGCTTAGGTTTTTGCCTGAATAGGGAATTCAAGTTTGTTCTTTAGCCCAGGATCCCTCTCAGTCATTTTTGGTGCATCTTTTTTCCAGTTTACCTCAATGAGTAGTGAAAATTTGCATTTCAAAAATTATTTAATATACTGTGAAATATCTGATACAAAGCATTTAAAAATGCATATTAGCATTTGCTACACTGATCAAAGCTGGAACATAAGTGCTTTCCAAAAATATCATTTGATCTTTAAACATGAAGTAGAAGCACAGAAAGATGATAAGCTTATTTAATACTTAGAAAGTGTGCCAAAATAGAATACTGACTTCGAAATCCTCATTACTTTTCCCACATTGTTCACATTCTAATGTATTACTTATTGGCTAGATATACAAAGTATACCAAAGTCTATAACAATATGAAACATGACTAAGAATAATAGTCAGATTTCTTTGTATCTGCAGAATTGCAGAAGAGAAAATGGGTGGGTTTTTTTGATATGCAAAGAAAATATTTCTCAGACACAGCATACTGATCATTTGCCGTAAATTTGTTTTAACTTATTTAAAAAGCACCTCAGAGAAACAGGAAAAGGGAAAGGATAATATGTTTTAATTGTTGCAAACTTGCAAATCTTTTCACCTTTTAGTTAAGGTGAAGTTTTTTGACATACTAATTTAAGACTATAGCATGGTTTATACTGCAGAAAGGAACGAACACAAATGCTTCAGTGATAGCAAACTTGTGGTTACATCTGTGCAAATGCATCTTTATACTTACCTGAAATCTCATCTCTGAATCAATATACAATGTCACAGGGAATTCTCTGATCTGATTCTGTAACTGTGCAGCCTTGCCTGCAATGCAGACAAAAATTGTAAAAAAAGTAATGGCTCTGGATGGTCTTGTATATTGAAAGCACACAGTAATACTTTTCAATTTTCCTTGTAATCCAATGGCCACCTAACAATAAATTACACTCCAGTGATCATCTTATAGAATACTGCCACAGTGATTTTTATTTACTGCCAAATAAAAACGAAGCTTAACTAAGCTTAATGTTTGTTTTCATTTTTCTCCATTTTGTTCTTTCCTTGGTTGCTTATGTTATGCATTATTTTTAAGCATCTGGTTTTATATCATCATCTGATAACCTGACAGACCACAATCTGCAGATCACATTTAGGAGGCAGTAATCCAAAGTTGTAATGGGCTTCACTGCAGGTAAGTTTAGTGACTTGTTTTATCTAAAAATTGAGTTGACATATAAAATCATGTACTCGAGTCCTGAAGAGACACTGCAGCTTGGTGTTTATTATTTTTCTTTCCACGTGGCACTTCTGTGCTTCCAGACCTACGTTGCTACACTGTCTCTGTGGCAAAACATTAAAACTCACAGCATGAGGTTCTCTGTCCACTAAGTCTGCGCTGCTCCAGCCAGTGAAACAAGAACGTGTTCCTTGGAAGCTGAAAAAATGTCTCCCAAAGGAATGAAGAGAGACAAATAATTTTACCAGTTTTAATTTCCCCCCACTTCTGAAAATTAGCTGTTAAGTTTTTTTTCTCTATAGGTTTCCACTGAGATTGATTTTTCAAATAGTAATGGTTTTGTTTATTTCAGAATAAAGTCTCTTGCAGAGGTCACTGTCAGAATTCGCACACTTGTAATGTTTTGCTGCAATGATTTAACTGAACTTAGAGATATGCAAAGAAATATTACAGGTAGGTTGTTCCTGCAACCCAGAATATTAATTTACAAAATATTCAGATTTTTTCTGTTTATTACAAATAAATCCTTGTGTTATAAATGTGAATGGATAAGAGCCATATGATAACATAGCTGTAATTAAACTGTTTTCTGTGGAACACTTAGTGGTAGAGTAAAAAAGAAAAAAATTGGTAATTGTTTAAAATGCAGTATTTGATATAAAAGGATAATCTCTGCCAGTTATTTGTTATCAATATACCTTTTCAAAGAGTGCTGTAGTTCTGATACAAGAGTCATAGATACTATAGAAACAATGAATCTGAACTGATTCTAATTGTAATGATCTACTTTGCTGCCAGAGGAGAGAGGGGACCGGTTCTCAGGATACGTAGTTCAGCCACAGTCTACAGGAAGGAATGAGGGCATTCATGTTCCAGACTATGGCTTCTGTGAGACAGGATCAGAGAGTAGCACTCTCGGTGAGTTTACTGGTCAGCTTCTTCTATTGGGCATGTAACATCCTGCTTGGCAGTGTGAATGTTACCATACCAAAATCACAACCCTTCATAAACTTTAGTTACCCACCTGCAGCGATCTCTGTCTCCCTTGCACTCTTCAGCTGCTGTCAATTACTATAGCTTATATGCAGTGAAGATCTGTGGCGTGGAGCCTGAATTCATGCTGAATCAGTGATTAGGACACAGGGAGTACAAAGCAGGAGAGCAGGACTGTGTTCTTATTTTGGCCACTGACTCACCGTGACTTCAGGCAAGTCACTTAGTAGATATTTGCCTGTGTTTCCACCTATTTAATGAGGTTGATGGTAATCAAAACACTGCAAAACTTGTGGATGCAGTGATTTATAAGTAATTATTTTCCATGCTTGCTGGTAAAATGGTAATTTCAGATGTAGACTATTTTTACTTGTAAGGTTATTTTTTTTACCACATATAGAGTAAATATCTACAGGAGTGAATTGTAAAAATAAAGTTTCCAATGTGTATTGAATCCTTTGTTGTAATGGTTGTACCGGAGTTACCAGAAAATCCGAGCTTCTGTCTTCATGATGATTAAAAGATGAATACTCAGGTGTTTTGGCAGGACCTTTAAAACTTAGTCAATGGTAGGGGAAAGCAAAATAAGTTGATCTGAGCACGCTACTCTTTTATTAAAGCAACCTGTACCTCTTTTAAAGGGCATATCAACCAGTGCACTTCTCACAGGTATATTGATTTCTATTGATTATTCTTCTGTTCAGTCAAATCAGGAATTATTTGACTGTGTTCTACCTGTTCAGTTTGTAAAAAAAACTCAACAATGCTGCGTAGAATGTGTTTACTGAACAGTTAGTGACAATGGATTAAGGTCTGAACTTACAGCTTTTACACATGGTGTGTTCTCAACAGATACTTTAACTGATTGTACAGTTATGTTCAAAATGATAGATTTTTACACATGAATGCTTCACAGGTAAATATCACTTAGTAAATATGACTTAGTATTTTTATGGTACTGGGGCATAACCTTCTGCATAAGAATTCTATTTGGAAAGTAATACACGCTACTGAACATGGTATTAAAACAAATCAATATTGCAGAAATTCGTAACTGAAACCTTGACATTTATGTTTATGTGGACTGATTGTATTTCTTGAAAGAAGAGAGGCTGGGTTCTAAAAGCAATGAAATATATTTTGAGATATTTGATGTTCACTTAAAACCTGTTGATTATATGACGAATCCATGTTAAAATGAGCACGGATGTTCGGCTTGAATACCCTGTATTTTTTGTTACAGCAGTAATAAGCAAGTAAAACACATGTCTAGAGACCTGCTGGGTTTTAAAATTATAATGGTAGCTGGATTTTAGCTTTAATGTATTTTCCATATAAACAGTTCTGGTGCCAAGAAGTTGCTCTTGAAAGGGTAATTGGTCTCTGTGACTGGCAATGGATCTACTCCAAAAAGTGTCTGGTGAAAAAGACTGCTGCTGAGAGCTGCATCCGTCTTTTGCCTCTCTGAAAAGGAAGGAGACATCTTATTCTGGGCTGTACTGTTTCGCGCCCTCATCAGTGCGCGTTGGCACACACAGAAACAGTTTCTGTATGATAATTGTAGCCAAAGCTCCCCTCCCCCCATGTTCAGTGTCCTGTGCGCAGTGTCCCAGAAACATAAGACACAGCTCCTGCTCTATAGAGCTGTAAAATGAGATATAATGTGAACTAGAATAATGAATTTAAAACCAGAACTGTTATATACAGATGCAGTTAATGCATGTTTTCCTTGAAGTTTGCCCCACTGTATTGATGCTGATAGTTAGTCATGGGCATGGAGGTTACGATTTGTCACTTAAATTTCAGAAAATTAATGTTGGCTGGACTGTGTAGACATGTTCCCCCAAACCAGTTTGCTGTTATGACATTGTGAGGGGTGGAAAAGGGTAAATGTGTGACATGTATGACAGGAGGTAAGAGTCATCTTATTACCCTTGCTTTGTACGGCTGCACTACTCTTGCAGACTGCTTACCTCAAGGCAAAAGGCTCTGCCTCCCATACATGTAACTTAAATTAGTGTTTCGTATACTAATAGCAAAATATGTGCCCTGAATTGGGATGACTTATTTTTATTAAGTTGAATAATTAAAGATGGCACATACAGAAGATCAATGTGATAGGGAAATAATAGTGTGTCTCAGTCTCCTAGATTCTTGAAAATCACCCATAGTTCTTTGTAGTGAGAATGGAAAACTGCTTACAGTTCAAGGATGTAAGTTTTAATCATGAAGTCATAGCACTGTCTGGTTTGTAGCTTGGGAAATTTCAAATCGTGTTTGGTGGGGTTTTTTTCCCCCACAAAGATCACACCTTGTTTACAGAAGTCCATAGCTCATAAAAATCAACTAGCTATCTCAATTCGTATTGCCCTCTACATTTTTTGATTTATATGACTTAAAATGCCTTGATTTTAGTATATGTATCTCAGTATTTCTTGTGAGTTCCAAAAAAATACGTAAGTCTTGCAGCCTGTTGCCTGTTAGGTGTCCTGGAAAGTCTCAGTTTATTCAGACCTGCCAGGGTATAGTTGGGTACATGAGAAATTTTCAGACTTCCTG